TGAGTCAGAGCCCACTGACCCTGCGAACCATAAATGGCTTTGGCGCAAAACTGTCATTTCCAGGCGCAAGAGGAGATACTGGATTAGTCAAAGACACCTCGCCTAAGCTTTCTTCCACTGTCCCTCCACCCTTCCGCCTCGGGCTTTGGAAGCAAGAAAGGGACTGCAGTAGGGTACCTCTCCAGGGGCCTGAGGGCGCAGGGACAGAGTTGTGCGCGCTTACACGCGCGGTGCTGGAGTGGAACGCGCTGCTCAACGTGGAGACCAAAACTGACCGGCGCTGGCGCAGGCCCACACCCAGCGTCTGTGGCTGCAAAGCGGCCAGATCGCCGAACCAAGAAGACAAATGAATGTTATGCAGCATTCTCTATTAAACAATAAAGTGAGCTGTAAAGTCTCAGGTGCTGTGTTTGTTGTGCAGTCTGCGTCGAGCGGTGGCTCAGGACCCGGGCGAGCCGAGCAGAGTGGGCCAGGGAGCGCCTCTTCGGCTGATTCCAGGGAAAGATAAGGAGCCGCCGAGCCACCAGCTCTGTCTAGACTCGCGACCTCACAAGTCAAGCACCTTGTTTGGATTAGCCCTCCAGATCTGCGAACCTGATCAACTTCTGAAAGAGAAGGGCCCAGAAATACCCTTATTTTTCTCTCTCGGACCACGTCGATTGTCCCTGCTTTAAGGGATCAAGGGCTGACTTGCCCGCGGAAGCGGCGGGGCTGGTTAGACTAGTGTCCGGGTCCCCAATTCCCAGCACTTCCCACCCCTAACCTGAGTGCGGACAGGCGCTGCCCTGCCTGCTGGACTCCGGCAACGCACCTGGGAGTAGAAGCACTCGGACAACCTGCAAAATTAAGTAGCTAATTCGGTCAAATCCACAAATAACATCACTTCAAAATGAACACTAACTTTTAATCAATGGAATGGAAAAAGGAGTCCAAGCAAGGAATAAGCAGCTCTAAGGCTAAGCAGAATGTGACATGGCTTTGGAAAGGGAGGGTCAATGTGTCTTTCTTCCCCACCTGGCGAAAAGCAATCTTACCCCACATCTTTCTTCCAAATCCAGGTAGTCTCTTTGGGGGGCTGTGTGTGTGTGTGTTTACATACACATATAAATGATATAAAGAAAAATATAAGTATGTGTATATATGTATGTATATATGTAGGTATGCACACACACACATATATATAATTTTCTTTTTAGAACCTTTCGCTTATCAATGCTGAGCGCTCTTGCAGACAGATAATTAAGCAGAAAGATTTGCAAAATAAATTTTTAGAAATTAGAATCAAGGAGTCGTAAGTGCAGTTCCGGGAAGAGACTGGCTTCCTTGAGACACAGAAACTGGCTTCTTGGAGCCAACAGCTTAAGTACCATAAAAATTAAAGGATGTGATAGTAACAATGCTCACAGCAAACACTCAGCAGCCTTCCCTGCCGCCCCTCCCCCTCCTTCGCTCCCTGTGAACCAACTTCTCTGTCTACACTTCAGAAGTCTCTGGGAGGTGTGGAGAGATCCTCCATCATGGCTTGGGACATTGTAAGCTGTGAAGTTTATGTTTGTGGCGCCTGGGCTCAAACAGCCATTCAGTGGCTTGCTCCATTATCAAGAAAACAACAATCCGAAAAGATCAGTAAACAAAATCGGCTGCCAGAGCCTTGAATTAACTACTTGCATTTTAGTTTAAAAATACCAACTCATACTGTACAAGTTACTTTTCATTTTAAATAGTTATTGAGAATTCAAGATGTGGGGCCGTTTTTTAAGAGAACACTTTTAAAATAAATACACAAAATTTGCTCCCTCCTTTTTCTTCTTGTGCTCCCCCCCAAAAAAAAATTTGCCCTGTTGCGACGTAAATCTTTAGTTGTTGATTAGTGAAAAGGAAGTAAATATTCCTAGAGAATTAGAACTCAGGCATCGTTTGGATGATGAATCTCACTTACAAAAGTTGACTAAACTGAACTTTACCAATAAGAAAATAAGTACTTTCTGCTTAGACAGTTCACTTGTTTTAGGAATGAGATTACAAACCCAAAGTGGCTGGGTGCCATCCAAACATAGCTCTTTAAACTTTTTTCTTTTTTCTTTTTTTTTTTTAGAAAAAAGAAAAGGCTAAGTAAAGCCACATGGAATTTACAACAGTTACATTTCATGAGATCAATCTTATGACTTAAAATTCAAGATGCTAGGGAAATACAAAGCACTTCCAAGGTAACCTGAAAGCACACTGTCTTTTTAGCTAGTTTCAAAAGGATAAGATACACCAGAAGAGAGGTCAACATTATGAGTTTAACAAGTTGATCAGGGTGAATAGCAGCCAAGCATCACAAAGTCATCTATTTAATCTTGAACTCCAAGAAAGTTGTCAATGGGCAAGTGGGTACACATACCCACACAGAATTATGAGTAACCAGAAACCTTGTTTCAAAGGAGAAAAAAATCTTTAAATATGATTCTAACTTAGAAAAGAACTTTTTTGATTTGTAAGAAAACCCAAGTTCATTTCATGAATGGGATAGAGGGAAAATAGGCTGAAATGGAAGACAGTATTGTGCTGAAACTATAGAGGAAACAATATCCTGTCTTTAAGACTATGTATACTGATATTAATTTTCTGATTTAAGGGGAGCATACTAGATGTTTTTAGCTGCATTAAATTTTAGCTTGCAGAAGCTGGAGGAAATGAATCATAATGTCCAGAAGGAAGAATTCAGAGTAATAAGGGAGGGACGATCAGAGATAATAACGAACAAGAGGAATTTCATTACAAGAGCAGAGCTCAAAACTCAGTCTTCAGAGGTGTGCAGAGAAGAGGAGAGTATGCAAGAGATGATTTGCGAATAAAATGACATTTCTGCTACACATTTTAGAGTGCAGGCTGAGGAGTCTAAAAGGGGAAGGAAGACACACCTTCATATAAAAAAATGAAAGAATTAGAATGCTATTGACTCATTAGTCCATTCTCAGCCACCAGGCAACAAATATCTTGAATCTAGCAAGTGAAACCAAATCATTCATCACCCCCTCCCTAAATTATTGTGGTTAAATTCAAGCGATGGACTTCAGAATAGACTGACATCTATATATGTAAAACATCACCGTTCCCCACCAAAACATGTAAACATATTCTTAATCTTAGAAATCAATTCGAGGAGGAAAAAGCTTCACAAAGATGGGTGCCTCCCTTAAGTACCTCTATTGCATTCAAACCCTAAAGAAAGTGTTTTCCATCTCTAGTCCCTAACATTTTTGAGTCCACCAGAGGCTATGGCTGGGGAAGCGGGTCCGGTGTTTTCCAAGTAAGGAAGGCTTGGACTCTCAATAACTTTGCAGGCATGACACCAATATTCACATTGAACCTGCCCTCCTTACACATGCATATTAGTTGCCATTTCAGCTATGATGGTGAGGAAAAAGGAAAAAAGAGAACAATAGAAATAGTGAATGGGAAGCTAAAACAGTAAAGTCCCTTGGCAAGAGATTAGAGGAGGGAGATCTGAGTTAAAAACAACAACAACAACAAACAAACAAACAAAAAACCTTTCCCGAAGAAGATCCATGTGAGATAAGACACAACTCTTGTTTTCCTCAGCAGAAGACTGCAAGCCATTATTACCACCGGCCAAATTATTACCCCTCTGTCAAGAATTAGACACAACAATCAAAGTAATCAACGGGCATGTCTAATGCACTGTAACATTTTCAATGCAAAGTTTGTTTTCTCTCTGCCCCCACGTTAGAGCCTGCAATTAACCCGTTATGTAGAACCAACCCAAACAAAAGCCTAATGGAGGCTGGCTTCCAGACTTGCGGCAGGTTTGGAGAGGGTGAAAGCAACTTGAGAGCTGGGGGGCATAGCCTCCACCTCACCCTATTGAATCCGGAGGGGTATGCCACACGACACACGATTAGGGTACTTTAGCTTTCACATTTATTAAGAATTGTCAGGTACTGAAAACGGCATTACACTCGCGCATACAAATGAATGCAGTTTCCAGAGTTAAAGCATCATCCTGGGGTGGGGGTAAAGGGAGGCGAGGGAACAGGGTGGAGACCCAAATCCTAATCCGACGCCAGCAAACGAAGAAGCACCAAGAAGCCCAATTTCAGGCAGTGCCATTTATCTTTTCCAGGGTTCTGGCTCTAGCACTTGAACTATTGCTGGGAGCGGGGGGAGCGGCGGGGAGCGGCGGGGGAATAGTCTATCCCAGAGAGCATGCCGGTGACTCTGATAGCTGATGGGTTCAGCAAAGCACACGACCTGCTACCCCACCCCATAAAAGGTGGTTTCCCAACAGAATATATGCCGTGTTTCTCCCCATAGCCAGTCATCTTTCCCAAGATTTTTGAAATTGGACTTGCGGAAGGGACAAATCGGAGGTGGGAGAGGGGAGAAGAGGCAAGAAAATGCATACACTGACTGCTCTGGGAATTGCAGAGCATACTCTCTTCTCTAGGCCTGTTCCTTTTGCACAAATACAGCAGCATTTCTCAATCGGCTGACAGCCGCCACTGGTAAATAATGGTCATACCTCACTGGCTAGGCAGAAAGCCTCTCTTTTACCAAGAGCTTATATATTTGACATACAGGTCATTTCAACAATCCCAAGCAGGAGCCTTTGGTATAAATCACTTATTCTAAAAAAATAAAACAGTGACTCTGAATCAAAAGCCATTTTAAAGAAGACCATTTTCCTATTTGGGGTAGGTGGATGGGTGGGGTACGGCAAGAAAGAGATTGGGGGAAGGAAAGAGGGGTCAGGACAGAGAACAGCATCTCATTTTCACAAAACCAGTAGCATTATCATAGCTGAGAGCTAAGGGGTTTCCAACCAACTTTGATCCAACTATTGAAACCCAAACTTGCAAACTCAACCTTAACTATTTGCAATACAACATCACTCCAATTGTGTGTCAGTTTACTCCAATTCACATGCAATCCTTACTTTCAGACATTTGAATAGCTTGTTTGTAAACATAAAAGAGGGACCCTGGATCACTGTGTTTATTTATTTATCTATGCCAAATGTTTATTAGTGAAATAGTCCTGAAGATATAATTCTACATATGGCGCTTTGATTTCACATAATATTTAAGAAAAAGACAAAACACACAGAATTAGACATATAATTCAAAGACCACCATACAACCTTTATCTTTTTTTTTAACTTCAGCAAACAAAAAATGTCAAATGACATGAAAAGTGGCAAGTCTTCCGACAATAAATAATAAATTACTTTATAATTTTTGCAATGCAAGAGCAAACAAAAAAATTTTCCTTTTTTTCCTTTTTTATTTCCATAGAGAGAAAAAACAGTCATTTAAACCAATAACTATACACATCTTTGGGGGAAAAGTTCTTGGACAGACACAAGTCAAACACAATCCCGAGACGCTTGTGGCAAAATAGAGGTAACCTTGTTGCAATGCTTTATAAGTTGGTTTTTAAATCTGAATTCAAAAACCTTTAAAGTCGCTTCAGACTTCTTGATAAAGGATGGATCTCAAAAAAAGGGGGGAGGGGGCAAAGTAAAAAATAAACCAGCTACAGGATAGGCCAAGAGACCCAGGATTTCAACTAACCCCTTGTTAAAGTCAACTTAAAACATCGCAAACCAATGCAGCTCCACCTTTCTGAAAGGACTCTTTCAGCCAAGGAGGCCAGTCTCTCTTCCTGCGCTTTTGCTGGAGCTCCTGTTTGGCAAGGCAATGACAGCACCATTCAGATTAGGATGGACTAGAAAATTTTCTATTTTTGTTTTTCTCTAGATGTGCAGTGAAATGAAAATGCTTTTTTTGAGATCCTTGAATATAAATCCTTTACGTTTTAAAAACGTCTTTTTATTTTTCTCAGTACTTCTAAGATCATTGAATAGCATATACTGGGTTTTGCGTTTTGTTTGTTGTTCAATTCTAGTAAAATCCCATGATTGTCTTCACAGTGTTGCTACCATATCACCTTGTCATTAAAACAGACTTCGTGCATTTCATGGAGCATTCATTTCTTGATTCAGTTTTCATTGACTGGGTTGTTAAATACTTTCATTTCAGAGTTCAACATTATAATTTCCCACTTTCTCCAACAGGGAAAAAAAAATACAGAATGAATGTTCCTCATGCCTCAATAGGACTGGCTACCATGCTGTTAGGTGTATCTGGAAGTTGAGAGGACATTGATGCTACTTCACTGCCAGTGGAATTAGAGCCCGGTCCTCCTTCTGAAAAATTGACCTGCATAGAAGGTTGAGAAATAAATAAAGGACACTGGAATAGTATTCATAAAAAGATTATAAACTCATCATATTGTGTATGTAGAAATGTTTGTGTAGATAGATATGTAAAGATACCCACATAGATAACTGAATTTTAATAAGCTTAGAGAAAGCCTAGAGGAGAAAAACTTGAGAAGAAATCCTCTCGCTTTCCCATCTTCCAAAAGATCTCTGTTTTAACTGAAACTGAAATTCCAACATTATGTTACATTAAATTATTTAAGAACAAATGTGTTTCCCACTGTAAAATGGCATCACAACTCTACTATGCATGCTCAAGATAAAATTATCCTGCTGGCTACATGTTGCCCTGGGAGTAGGCGAGCTCTCAGTCTCTAGGCATCAAAGACTCTCTTCTTCAGTTGAAAAATCCGTTAACAGGCTCAGATCCTTTGACGGGAGATTGAGAGAAGGCTCCACAGAACAAAGATTAACTCCTCAGCAGGCTCATAGCTCGGGCATTCTTCCTTGTTGGTCCTCCTGCCTTTTGGCCTTTCTCTCTCTCTCTCTCTTTACATCAGGCTTTTCCTTCCAAAATGAGACCCATATATTATGACATCATCCCATTCTGATTCCTTCTTTTAACCCTAATATGTGACTCCTTCTTAAATATCTGACTCCTTCTTTAACCATAAACACATTGTACTGCTGTTGTAAACCTTCTCTAACCATGCACACCCCTGCCTCAGCTTCCCTTCCACAGCTCTCATCTGACACTAAAGTTTCAGAAAGTGCAAACATTTGGCTGCCCTGAACCCTCCCCTTAGCTTCCTTCTGTGATTCAGGTTTCGTTCAAATAACTCAACAGATTAATGGCCTTAAAATAATTTTTTTTCCTAGTTCCAGAGCCTACATTTCTTTCTACAGTAAATTTTTCCAATATGAGATTAAGGGACTTCTAGCCTCTGTACCCACTTAGCATTTGCAAACACCAGCCTGGGGCCAAGCCCTTTTAACCACTTGCCTCTGGCCAATTACCTAACTGTTGACATTGAGAAAGCAAATACCCTTCAGGTAAATATGAGGGTAAAAAGCTAACCTCAACTAAAGGTTCATTTCCAAAAAAGGGAACAGGGTTTCGGGATACATCTTTACATTTTATGAAACAAGATTCTATAAGGCTGATTACTCTTCAAGAAAAAAAAACATATATATATAAATACAGCATATTACGAAGGATATATATTTATTGTTCTTATTCATCTTGACTCTTTACGCCTTTTGTAGGCAAAAAGTGAATTAATTTTCTCTTCACTGGATGTGGAAAACATGTTAAGGTTTTCACAGATTAAACACTTTACTTCTGATTGGTAGAGCTCATGTCCCTTTTGCTATACATGGTACAAGGTGTGTGTCTCTATGACATTTGAACTCATACACTTGAAAACGTTTAAACGATTCAACATTTTAGATTAAGACATTCCCAGCAACGGATACCGTAACAAAAAGTATTGATCTATTTGAATAATCTTTACTGATATATTTGAAAACTGCACCCAGACGTGGCTGCTGTTTATTGATAACGACACTGATTATGTATTATAGCATTGATTATGAACTACAATCACCTTGATTTGGGTCCTTATATATCCCATTCTCTAGATGCTCAGGAAGGATAAACTTACTAATTGCTGATTGAAATGCCAAGACGATTTCCTGAAGTCCTGGACAACTCTAAAATTCTAAGATGTATGATTCTCCAACACTGTACATCTTCTGGCACATGCTACCTAGAGTTAGGTACCTTGAAATTAATCCTTCAAAGAAGTCCTGATTGATAGAAAATTCAACCTATATGGTCAAATTATGCAGTCTCATAAAAAAAAAGATGCATAAGAGGTTCGTTTTCCTTGCATTTGTCTCCCTTCTCTTCATTACCCATCTCCTTGGTTTCTCCCCAACCCTGAGCCCAAGAAGGCACCCTCCCCACTGAATCTTTCAGTGTGTGACAGTTAAACCAGAGTCCCCTGTTGGGAATTCAGCCTCTTCCATCTGGGAGCTGACACTTACCAGTTGCTGAAAAGCAGGCTGATCTATGTCACTCTGCAAGGCGAAGTCGCTCAGTACTTTCCAAGGTGGCTGGTAACTTTGTACCTCCACTGGGTTAGCCTGTAAGCCACCGTCGTGTCTCTCTGGACTGGCAGCCACCATGGGAGTTCCTGTCATCCCCTGGATATTCTGTGAATAGGCCCCCCCCCCACCAATCCCAACATGTTAATGAGCAAATTCCCTCCCTCCGTTGTCTGCACAAGCTAAGCAAATATACCCTGGTATTATCTTATCTATATAGTGGCCTTTATTGACTCAGTTAATCTGCTGTACCTATGGATATTAGCTAGAGTTCAGTTTTGTTTTATTGTGTTTTGTGTTTCTGCCTCTGTGGGCTGGACTATTAGGTCTGCATGGACCTTATTAAACCAAATTCTACTTTAACTTTCTTCTTCCCCCTTATCTTCACAGCTCAGCCCAATTCCTCCCCTCTGCCTTCTCAGGCCATAGCTTCCCAGAACTAGAAAGCTGAGGTAAGCAGGGTCTCCCTTCTGCCTCTAGACAGGGTGGTTTTCTGGGCAGTTTCAGTAAGCTGCAGATTTTTTCCAAGTAGTTCTCCTCAAGGAAGAGCCAGCCCCCGACTCCATCGCCCCCAAAGCATTTGGATCTGGTTCCTATTGTGCTATTATGCACTAACCAACTCAGAAAGTGCCCTGGCCCAGTCTTGGCCAGCCTGCCAAGTTTAATGACAGCAGGTTTTATGGCATTTAAAAATAGGGCCAAAGCAGTAAAAGAAAAAGAAAGAAAGAAAGAAAAGAAACTCTAGCTTAACTTCACCAGGAAGCCTGCAGAGTGGGTGCTTCCGTGGGCCCAAGATAACAGTGGATACTGGTGCGAGTCTCTGTGGAGGCCTGGGCTTCACCTGGAGCAGAGGGTGCTCTGGGCATGCGGGTCACCTTGGGGGAACTCCTCAGCCTGAAGGCGCACTGTACCTTACTCAAAAGTACAGTGCGCCCTGGGGGCTCACAGGGCGACCTGCCCACGGAATCCCTGGATGTAGGTAGGAACCCAAGGTGTTAGTATCCCTCCCTCTTCTACTGTACGTGAGGAACTGACGATCTGAAGGTTGGCAAAACCCGGGCCAAACCTCGTTGCCGCCCGCCCTCGGAGGGGAGGACGGCGTTTCTCCGGTTCGCAGCTACAGGCGATGAGGAAGGGCATGAGCCCACCCACAAGGTTGGGACCTGGCTGCCGCTCCCCTGGCGTACGGAGCCTCCAAGCTTCCCCACTCGGAGCCGGGTAACCTCTCCCCCAAGAATGGGTGGGGGTGGGGATGAGGGGCAGTCCTGGCCAAACTCCTGCCCAGGAGCAGGATCGAAAATCGCGCGCCGGCCAGACTGGGCACCAGGAACGCACCTCGCACGCCGCGTCTACTTCCCCCTCGCATTCCCTGCCTGGCCCCAGAGCCACTCACAGTTTTGTCATTGGGCTGCTGCTGCTGGAGTTGCTTCATCATGATGCTTCGCTTCTTGTCTTTGCACCGCTTATTTTGAAACCAGACCCGGATCACACGGGGACTGAGGCCCGTCATCTCTACCAGTTGCTCCTTCATGAGCGCATCGGGCCGCGGGTTTGCGGCATAGCAGGTCCGCAAGGTGTGCAGCTGCTTCTCGTTCAGCACAGTTCGCACGCGGGTGGTCTTCTCCGGCTGCTTGTGGACATGGGGCCGCAGGGCCGGCTGCCTGGCGGAGATGGGCTCCGCTGCGGGGCAAGGAGCGCCATGAGCGCTGGGCTGGCCGCTCGCTCGCCCGCCCACCCTCGCTCGCCCGCCCGCCTGCGCTAGCTCGCTCGCCTGCCCGCCCGCCCGCCCGCTCGCTTGCTCGCCCGCCTGAGACACTCCAGGACAATGGCTAGTGTTTGCAGCCTCGGCACACAAAGCAGGGGGCGGCAGAGGTGGGGCGAAGAGGGTGAAAGGGAGAATAAAATCTTCCTCTCTAATCTGCAGAGGTCAATGCTGAGTAATCCCGGGCCGGAATGCAGTACCCGCCCCTCCTCGTGTCAACAAAGTGTTAGCCAAGGGAAGCAGGTTTAAAATCTGTCCCCCTGTTCGCAGCAGGCATGGCATTTTTCAGCACTGTTTCTCCTCCTTTCTCACGTTTCCTTGTGCCCAGACTGGGTCCCAGTTACATTGATTACCACCCTCTCCAGGCTCAGAATTTTCTCTTGGGCCAAGGCCACAGAGGGTACAAGGAAGAACGCAGAGCACTTCAGTGACAGCCATAAATACTATACGAGCAGGGATTTCTGCAAGGGGAAGGCTGAGAACTCTGCCAGCACACCTTGAACTTCAGTCCGAGAGGACAATCATGTCAAGGGGCTGAAGACTTTCGCTATTTCTGCCATATCTCCAATCCTTGCTCTTCCTTCGTATTAAATCTAAAGTAATACATGGATGTTCCTGAGATGGGCAGACCCCAAGCAGTAGAAAACGGAAACTCTGTTGAGCTGCCTAGGCTCTAGATAAACGGTGGCTGGGATATGTCCCCCGCCTCCCTCCCGGTATTTTAGCTTCCTCTGCGTTTCCCGGCAAGCAGAGTGCAGCCTCCACTGAACAGGAGCACCACCCCTGGCCTTGCCCCGGTGCACACTAGTCACAAATCCCCCTGAACAGAATTCTTAGAGCTGCCAGAAGGCAGAAGCGCAAGGGAGCGCTATAGTTTCCTCACCTTCAGTGTTTAGTGGGAATTTATACTTTAAAACTGCAAAGGAGTCGATCTACTCATGACAGAAAGTCAGGTTTGGAAACACTGTCCACCTTCTTACCCACGACTTTGGTCCTGACCAACCTTACCGGGTTTCCACTCCTCTTCCTTGGGAATGAGTCCTCTTATCTATATGATACACATCCTGCACCTTCTACAACCCCCTAGTGTCAGGCCAACACCTATGGGGTCAATTTAGAGCTACAACCATGGGCCTGAAGATGAAATTCTCACCAAATCATATAGAATGATTTAAAGAAACAGGCTCCCTTTAAAAGGCAATTACTGCAGATTAGCTTGTTGACAGTTTTAAATTATAGCTCTGTGCAATGGCCTGCAGTTTTTAAAATTGTATCTTTTCAGTCTTGGTCTCTCACAAAAAGATAAAAAATTTAAAAAATTTTTCGACCGTGAAGCAACTCACAAGGAAAAAGGATTTGGGAGACTAAATGACTTCAGGCCACCTAAGCTTCCTTCATTGGGTTAAAGGATGAAGCTCCAGGGACCCGGGGCTCCGCCCCTTTAATTAGGCAGCAGGAGAATACCTGACTGAGAGCTGAAGCCCGTTTTCAGCAAGCCAAGGTTTGGAGACCAAAACGAACTGGAAGTAATGTTTGGACGTGTGTATACACGTGTACACAAGTGGTGTACATTTATGTGTAACCATATAGACACACAGACGGTGTAGGTGTGCTCGGGGAATCAAGGGAGACAGTGAGTGCACTGAACCTTGCTGCAAAGGAGCAGAGCACAGCGCAAGCAAATTGCATACAAAACACTTCATTTAACTGCAGGCAAACACTACCACCACTCCTGTAGCTACCATGGTTGTTGTTGGCCGCCGGCACACAGCCTGGCTTAACCTGGCGCCTGCCTACCCGAGCCGGGCAGAGGAGTACCTGCCATTTGCAGTGGCCGCGCTGGATGCAGGGGACTAAGCGGGTCGCCAGCGCCCAGACTGGCTCTCTCCACCACATCGTGGTCTGCTCGGCAGAAGAGACCGTCCTCCCGAAGCGCAAATTCGTCCCCAGGGATGAGCTGGCGGCTGCAGGCCACACAGCGGAAACACTCGATGTGATACACCTTGGAGCGGGCACGCATCACGAAGTCGTTCTTGCTGAAGCCGATGCTGCACTTGGCGCATTTGATCCCGTACAACCTGTGCGGGGCGGGGTTGGGGGGGAGGCCCAGAGCGGGGAGAGAAGTACAGGAAGAGGGGGTCACTTCAGGCGGGCACTTCCCTGGCCCAAGATCCCGGGCAAGACGCCCCAAGTAAACAACATTTCCAAACAGAAGTTGGGAACAGAAGGACAGAAATGAAATCCTGCTCTCTCCCTCCCTGTCTCTCTTCCTTCCCCCATCTCTCTTTTCCCCTTCCTCCCTCCTCCCTTTTACTCCCCTTTCCTTTCCGATGAACCTGTGTCTTAGGCGGTAACTCTTAGTTCAAAACACCTAGCCTGTACCACGGAAAATGTATTGGATTCCAGACTCGGGCTGCTGCTCTAGCCATCAGTCCCAGGTTGATCTTGCAGATCTCGGCAGGAAGGAAGCCAGAAAGACTCTGGTGGCCACCGACAGCCACACTTTCACTTCCCTATCCCCCAAATTCTGCTGCTAGAAATGTCTAAAACTGCAACACAAAGTCCTCCTTCCAAGAAAAAGGAGGTAGGAGAAGGGGATTGTCACCCCACTCGGTTTGCAAACACTCACAAATAAACAAGCAGAATAACAAAATGAAACCTCTGAGCGTTTCCACATCTCCTTTTGCACAAGTACTTTCCAGTCTTTCTCCAACTATAGACTTTCTTCAGGCAGCAATGTTAACAGAACATATCCTCTTCATTCTTCCTTGTAGTATTATTATTATTATTTTAAAAATCTGTGTCTGTTCCCTCAATCTTTTTCAAGTTGTTGAATCATCTACCTCTATTTCAATTTTCTTGAAAACCATGACCAGACTGAAAAAATGCAAAGACCCACTTCTCAGGTCTTTCTCACTGCTGGCCTTTCCTTACCAAGGGACAATCTTTATAGGTTCCATCTAGGCTGCACTTCCCTGGCCCCTTCTCCATCTTTCAGGAATAACAGAAGCTGGGGCATTCCTACAAACAGAAAGAATGGAAGAGAGAGGACAAGATCCACATAACAGGAGGACGCATACTGCTTCTCCAAGGAGAGATGTGGAAATCTAACTGTTCAGTCTGTTCTGCTTTTACAACTACAAGATTACACACACACACACACACACACACACAGAGTTGAGAGAGAGTGGAGAGAAGGTAAAAATGATTAGGTCCTTCTACAAATGTGTATATCCAGAAGTAGGCACATGCAAACCTCTGTGCAATTGAGCAAAATACTATTTCCACAGGAGTAAAGATACTCCTGAAGTGGACTCTCCTTCTCTAGAATCTTGCGTTTACACACCAATCTAGTAAACCATGAAAACGCTCATTTGTCAGAGGTTAGAAGGTGGATTCAAAAGTTTTTCCTCCCTCCGCCTACTCAGTGTGAGATCTTCCATTTCATAGGGTGAAGACTTGACTTTGGCGGTGACCACACAATTTAGAAAATCCCTCCCCCTTCCTGTACCCCGACTTCCCTTACTTCCTTTCACTCCCTCTCTAAAGTATTAACCTCCCCCAACCAGGTTAATTTTATCTACCAAGATTATCCTCTCCGTGTCATGATTTATAAAAAAGAAGAAAAAAATGCTGGATACTAAGTGAGCAGGAGCAAACTGTGACTGTATATTAAATCTTAATTAAACTTTAATAAAAGCTCTCAAGCTTCAGAAACCATTTGCCTTACAAAAGCTAATTAATTACTTGTTAATAGCCACCAGACATTTAAAAAGTGGTATTTTGCTATTTAACATAATAATGATGGTGATATCTCTTCTGTTTGTTAATAAAACACATACAATTTTCTTTGGAGACTCTACTGGCTTTCTAAGGCAAAAAACAAAGTTTCTGATATATACACACAAGTCAGAGAAAACTTGAGATTAGCAAAGCCTGATGCAGAATAAATTGGAGGGGGAAAAAAAAAAAAAAACCTCTCCAAAACAACAAAACCAAACTCAGAAAGTTCCTATGTGGTTTCAGTCTTGTCAATTTGGACAATTCGCTCATTTTATCAGTTACCAGATTTTAATGTGAGAAAGGAAGCTGTTCAATTATCTAAATATACCAATTGTTCGTAGACAGATGATGGGCAATTTGATCTGCTCTAATTCATCAGCTCAGATAAGATAAGAAAGAAGAGACAGTTAGATGTCACCAAAGGGTTAATATTTAAAAAGATTAAGTTTCCGGTGTTTTCTGCAAGGAATATTTAGGTTGGTTTTAAATTTTTCTCAGAAGGAAGTCTTACCCAAAAAATAAAAGGAGCAATACCTGTACTCACTCTTTCAAAGTACATTTGTAAATATGCTTCGGTCAAACTTTTATTTCACCTATTGCATTGATGTCACCAAAAAAATTTGTAAGTTACTAATTTTAAAAAGGACTAAAACAAACAGAACACTGCACTATACAATAAAAGTCGACCCTATTTTAAAGTTAAAGACCCAAACTTCTCCATCTTTTAAAAATTTTGTTTTGTAAGGGGGAGAGTGAAAGAGGAAAATAATTTGTGCATCATAAATTCCAAGAGTAATTAAACAAGCCTCAATACCCCAGAATTATGAATACCACTGTTAAGGGTTTTTGTTTTTCTCCACTAAAAAATCAAATGAACAGCATAGCTTGATTTTTGTAACACATGTACAGGGTAACGTTGGCTTGCATGACTCCACAGAGGCAAACTTCACAAAAAGACAAAGCCACACCAAATAATACATAAAGAGTGGGGAGAGTAAGGGAAATCTCACAAAATTAAGGAAGGAGTGTAAATGCCATACCTGATATAATCTCTTTTACAGTAGGTTTTCCCATCCCTAACAAAGCATGTACAGCTCTCGTCCAAATACTGATTACACTCCGCACATTTCAAACATGCCGCATGCCATTCCAAATCCGGAGAAACCCTCAGAATATACTGATCGTGAATCTGATTGCCGCAACCAACACATAGGGAAATCAGACGTTTTTCTGAAATGAAAATAAATACATGATTGACTAAGCGTTTACTTCCTACAGAGATAAACACACTTTTAGTGTCGTTCTCTGTTCTCTTATAGGGCGTACTCTGTGAGGTTTTTTTTTTTTTTTTTTTTTTTTTTAGAGTATTGCACTTTGGGATGGTAATTGAAGTGTGCCATCAAAACCTTAACTCATTTTTAAAGGAGGTGGAATATATGTAAAATGCAGATTGGAATAGTCTACATTTGTACGCCTAGCACGCAATCAAACCCGCTCATTTTGTATTTCTTTTTATCGCCCTCCTTCCTCTTTGCTATAATCATTGGGAAAGATTATGGATAAGTCAAGTCAAAGAAAAGGTTTTGACTAGAAGCGTTAAGTGAATGCAGGGATGTCTATATTTTCCATGAAGCACGCTCTTAAATAGCACATAGGACTGGATATTGTTAGCAAGAGCAGGCATAAATACAGTTGTCACTCTTTTGCAAGTCTAATGCTAATTCACATCTCTGGGTATTGACTGTGCAGGCAAACCTTTGCAACATAATAACCTTCTCGGAGAGCTCAGGATTCCCCAGGAGGAAATCACCGCTTAGCACCAAAAAGCTAGGGTTTTGGAGGGTACACAGGCGAATTCAAACACAAGGTACGATCAGTTTCCCGAAGATAAGAACCGACAGTAAGCATGCAGGCGCGGCGGCAACAAGAAAAAGCCACCTTTTCTCTTTCTCCAGGCAATGACTCCAACTCCAAAGAGCCCTCGGCACCTCAGCCGGTGCCTGAGAGAGAACCCCGCACAAGAACAGCACACCGAGCCCCACAACGTAAAATAGCCTCTTACTTTTTGGTGGATCTCCCATGTCTCCCATATCTGTAAGAGGGAGTAATGTCCACAGTGAAATGGTGGTTGTACAGTTGGTGAACAGCCCACAGAGAGGATGCTGGAGCTGTGGCTAAGTGGGAAATAGTGGCCCCTGGGGTTGCCAAAGCTGAAAGAGCCGCTGCTCGGCTGCGCAGCGCCCTCGCGGATCTGGGAGTCCAATTTAAGCCGACGGAGTTGGTGGAGCGGAGGCGCTGCGGCGGCGGCGGACTCGGCGCGGCTCGGGCACCTCTCTTCCTTATCTCTTACTCAAACTTCTCTGCTCCAACTCAGCTCCATCGCCATTGGTCTGACGCAGCGCGCGGGGACGTCAGGCGAGCGCCGCGCCCATTGGCTGCAGGGCGCGCGGCGCAGCTGTTCTGATTATCATATTTCAGTCTCGCAGCCGCTGTGCGCCACTGACCGCTCGGCGAGCTCGCGGGAGAGGATTAGGGCTCCCGAGGCAACTTGCTCCGGGCTCAGCCCGTTCTCCCCCGATGCTCGGGCTGCCGGGCTGTTCTGGCTCTGGCCTCCCTCTCCTTCACCTCCTCTTCCTTCTGCCCCCTCCCGCGTTCCTTCCCGGCCGTGCCGTCTGCGCCCTCGCCTCCTGTTGCGCTACTCCTCCGCCCTCCGCTCCTGGGGTCCCCGCAGTCCGAATGGCAGCGTTGCGCGCGGGGCTCACTTTCTGCCGCTCGTGGCGAGTGGCTGGTGGGTAGGTCTACCTGTTGACGAGGTCCCTCCCGGGCTCTAGGAAACGGGGGGAACTTGGAGCAGGGCGCTTATCTTGGTTTGGTCCCACGCCGTGGCGCACATCCCCGGGGCCTAGCCCGCCTTGGCTGCTCGGGAGGGGGAGTTCCCTCCAGAACTGGCTGCGCTCGGCGCGCTAGGGGAAGAAGAATTGGAAATAGGATGATTAAACCCAGAGGAACTGTTTCGTGACTGCTACACCGTAACTCCGTCTTCCCCGACCTCAGATATCTAAAAACGTGGGGTGGGAGGAAAAGCGCTTCTTGCTGTTGGGGACAATCAGGTTGGAACGCACGGGTAAAATGAAGTTGACTCCGCGGACTTTTTGTCTTTCAGACCCGCGAGGTCTGCTTTTCAGTTTAAACTCTAGAATTGAAGTTCACTAACCCTAAGCCAAAGAGCGAAATGATCTTTCAGTAGTCTAAAGTTTGTAAGGTTTTTATATACTGTCCAATTCCTCTCTCTGCTGGTCTCCTGCCCTTTGTTTTTAAGCAAACTTGTGCAGCTAGCTGTGGTGTTTTGATAATTATAAGGACAAGTCTCCATGACTGGAGATTTTTAAACAATGCATTAGTGTAAGGGCGCGAGTAGGGAGGGATTTATTACAGAACAGTGGAAGATCTATTTCACGTCCCTAGGCGTTGATATATAATAATTTTCTCTCAGGAAACTACTTGGAGAGAGAAGATTGTTGGGTGCAACTCGCCGGTAACCTTTTTCAATCATTCTTACGTGTTCCCATCATCTCTTACAGTCTGCCAAAGACAAAGTCACAGGAAGGCCACGAAGAACCCCTGCGCTTCCCCCAAAGCTTCTAAAAAGCCATTTCTTATCTAATGGGACTGCCAGTTTTATCTAAAAAGGCCTACAGACACAAACCATAGTAGGCTTAATTTCGGTGTCTTGTTGCCGTGAGAAGACCCGGTGTGTTAGGAAACTCCTTTCTTTGTATCTTTCGCAAAATCTAACCCTTGATAAGAGCTGTAAGTCCTGGCCGGTCGCATTGGCTGAGCTTGAACGGGTAATGCCTCTCCAAAGCAGAAAGGGAATTTAAGATGCAAAAGTTTCCTCTTGACCTAACTGAGGCTTTCTTCCCCAGGAACTCGTTTTGATTTGTTTTGCTTTTTCTCAAGGAGGATTTCAAATTGGATCTCTCTTCTCTTCCATTTTTATTATAGGTTATTTTGTAGCGCGTGTATGAAAGTGAAAGTTGAATAGACCTAGGCTGATAAGTTTACCAGGTGTGTGTGTGTGTATGTGTGTCTGTCTGTTTCTAGTCTCTGGTATTAAATGTATGGAGCCTTTTGTCAAGCTGTTTTTGCAAAGCTGATGCTGATAATCTCAACACGAAGCAAATCTTCCCAGTATTCGGGCGTGTTTCCCATATAGATAAACATGTTGACCCTAGTAAAAAAAGATAACCACCACAATGCCAGAAAATGGAGAGTTTTACCCAGTCATATTCTATCATGCCACGTTTATAAGATGGAATTAAACACCAGAAGCTACCAGAAGCCTGATGACTTACATTTGAGATCCACAAAGCACCCTCACTATCCATCTTCCTTCAAACTAGCCCCCACCTCCCACACATAGTGTGGTATTTTAACTCCCTAAACCAATAAGCTATTGCATTACAAAGAATTATTGCAGATGATAGCAATTCCAAGTAGAAAAACTGGCATGTGGCTTGGGGGAAACCTTTAGTAACAGGCAATTTCACCTTAATGGTGAAGACAACATTTTCCTCTTTTCATTCTGCACCATTGTTGTAAACAAGTATTTTCTTAGTAAGTTCCTAAACTGATAGAAGCAAGACGCATGGTGAAGATACCTGCATTAAAAGGAGACATTTGAGGGACCCCCACCATGATGGACATGCTCTGAAGTTCAGTGCATGTATCATGATACACTTTATATTAAAATCCAAGTTAGAATAGCAGGCTTTGTAGTTTTACCTCACCTTGAAGTTCTAAATTGATCATGGACTATTCTCATTTCCTCAGCTGATTGCTGTATGTGGATTTAGTACATCAAATATATCTGTAAAATTTTGTTTTCTAGAGAATACATAAAACTGATTAGCAAATTTTTCCTTAATACTTGATTACAGGAGCGACCTCTTGTGTTCAAAGGGAGGATTAGACCCTGTCCTCTCAAAAATGGACTCGTTTTGACCTTTGTATATTGTTAGGTCGAAAATATATCCTTGAAAACGGCAATAGTGTGAATGTCTGGTTTGAGTTCCTTTACTGAGAAAAAGAGGAGTATGAGTAGTTATTAAGTATAGTCCCCATCACCTCCAGGCTGCCTCAATATATCCGACAGTGTCTTTCAATATAAAAGGGATACTGAAACGTAAGTTCCTCTGGCGTCTGTGGCATCTGCCCATGTGCACTTGTATACAGCTTCCAAAATGTGGCTGTTAACACTCAACCTCCTGGTGGGCTCTTAGACCTGTGTTTTTGTATACTGTTGCTTTCTCTGCTTTAATTACAATTTAAACATTCCACATCAAACTTAATGTCAGATACAGATTCCTGAACAAACATCATGCTCCCAAGCTACCTTCAAAAATCTGAATAGGTTTTAATTCCAATTGAAATGTAAAATTACACATTTAACATTTATTGATCTCCCAATAACCTCTGGCACATACAAATGAATTTTAAGTTGGTTCTTTGGGAAGTCACAAACAGACAGCTTATTCCTTCTCATTTAACCAAGATTGGGAAGGGAAGAGGGGCTTTGAACAGCTTTCCAATGAAGGTATAAATTTGGGAATTTGTTCCCAGGGAGATGATGCTATATGTTTAGCTCACATCAGAATCAGGTTTGAAAGAGTAGAATAACAGTTACACTGCTAGTTTCACTGAGTAAGGTATTCAGATGAAAATATATATATACCTGAAGGGTTTATATTTTCTGATGTCCACAATCGTATATAGTTTGGGGGCCAAAGTGAAACAGGAACATTTTATTTACCTCTAAAAATGGATATTGAGTAGATGCATATGTATCCCTTTTCCCGTTTTTATCTTTTATGTGTAGTCTCTAGTCATGTAGAATAAGGCTATATAAGCCCTCAGTATCTTTAATCATGTCCAAGGGTCAGATAAAATTATGTGCGTTTTAAAGGAGTTAGGATTAACTGTATTCCACCGGAACGGGGTGTGGGTGTTTAGAACCAATTTGCCTCTCTTCCCGTTGGTGGTGGTGGCTTATTGAGGAACAATCAAGAGAATCTGTGCTCTAATTTCGGAGAAAAGGAAGAGATACCACTGGGTATGAAATGATTATCTCTTTTTCTTTCCTTTTACTTAAAAAAATACTAAGCAATGATAATAAAGGCAGTTGTTAACAACAACAACAAACCTTTAGTTGTGATTCTTATTTTGATGCCTAGGACTCCTGCTGCGATTGTGGTTTTGTTGAGTGTCAGTTGCTTTATTAACCAGTTAAAACAGTCTGGGTGAATTAGCAAGAATTTTCTTTGCACACAGAGCTTCCTAGCCTTACTTTCTGGGTTCAGGTAGTTGTTTGTGACACTAGCGTTCCTGGTATTTCTTGGCAGATGACAGGCCAGAAGGCACTGTTCTTGTGCGGTCTGTTGCTCGGTTCTCAGCCGAGATAGAATTTCATGCTCCCGGCATCGCATCGGGGCAGCTGCGAAGCCACAAACCTCAGTTCAGTCCTGAGCCTGCGATGGTCTGCAGCTGATTGCAGGGAGTTCGGCCGAGCGAGGACGGAAATTTGGATTCTCCCTTTAAAATTGTGCTTCTGAAAGTATTTGCTATGACTTATCAAAAGCGGCCGGCAGTGTCAAGTGAAACCTTTTTCTTGTTTCCCCCTGCCCCCTAGAACTCCTAAGTGACCACGAAAGACGATTTTTAACCGAGTTCTGCTGCGTGGAGCCCAGGTTGGTGCTAGTGAGTGCAGTGTGCTGACCTAAGTTGTGCTGGGCCAAGGACGCGCTGACCCGTACATCTGGCAAAGCCTTCATTAAATGTATCAGATTCTCGCGGAAGTGGTTGCAGTCCGGAGAGTGCAATAGTTATCTCTCAAGTCCTGAGCGGTTCAGCTGAAATCTACATTTGCCCTGAATCTAGCAAAACACTCATAGGTCCTCCTGAGATCTCGGGAAACGTGGAGCAAGTTACCTCCATCTAGTTGATCATTCTTTCTGAAAGGATGGACACCATTTCCCCCACTGCAATCGTGTCCAACGGGCAGCTCAGAGTTTAGCGCCAAAGGGTTGATTTCCCCCACCCGCTGGAGATTTACTGGGAACGAGCGGGGGAGGGGAGGCGAAGGTACCTTGGAGGAGGTCAAGTGGGGGAGGAGGTGGAGCAGCAGAAAATTACCAGCCAAGCAGGGGAGGGAGTTGGAAGCCCGGAAATCTACCAGGATGCCTCAAGTAACCTTCCTTTAAGTCTCAGAATTCAGCGCTCGAAAAACAGCCTCATAAGGTGTCCTGGAAAGGAGTCCTCGGGTGGGCTGCGGAGGTGATGTCAAGAGTTACAGCTACTTTGTGAATTAAACTGACGGCTAAGGCATGTCGGGACAGTTCAGTGTAAGCTGAATGGTGCGTGGACGGGGGCTACTTTTAAAAAGAGATGGGGGGCAATCATTGCTGGCAACTACCAGTATATTCTGAGCGTAATAGTAGTTTGGAAGCTGAAGAAAGACCCCTCAAATCCCAGTAAGTGCCCAGTCAGTTCGAGAGGGATTTTAGAGACAATTTTGAAGGTCGCTGTCTGCTCCGACTCCGTGGAGAGGAACAAGGGTGTGAACTCTGGCGCGGGTGTGTTTAGAATTATCTACGACTTAAGATCCATACTGTTAAAACTCATCACTTCTTTGTGACTTCACATTGAGAGAAGAATTTGCCCTGCCTCCCTACCTGCTAAAGGCCGACTGAGAAAAGAAAAGGGGCCCAGGAGACGACCCCTTTCAGAAAGAACGTCAGTTCATCAACTCGACTGAGTTATTCACTTGCTCCCCAAAAGGTCAACAATGCCTTACCTTCCCAGCCTCACCGCACAGAGATCAATCGCTTTACCCGAGGTAGCCTCTTATTCAGGGCTCAGGAACTCCTGTCTTAAGGTCCTTCTGGGGCTCAGAAACTCTGCTATATGTTGTTTCCAAGAACCCCACCTGTCTGCTTTCAAGCACACACGTCGCTGGAAATTTAACCTAACCTGAGTCCAGGGATGAGAGAAGTGGTAAACAGAGACCCCAATCGTCCCTTTGGCCCCCGCCGTTTTTCAATTTGCCAGCCTTCTAGCTAGATAGCCCCCTAAGTCAGTGTTGAGAGTGAAAGGGAATTTTTCTATTTCATCTTCCCATTGACCGAAGCAGAAAAATTGAACCGAATCCACTCCCCTTGTCCTGACTAGAGGAAAGGAGAAAATCATCCCGCAGGTCTCTTTCAGTCCCTGGATGGCGAGCGCAACCCCTGAGAGTCCACACTTAGTTCCTTATTGTGAATATCTCGCTACTCACGTTCGGGACCAGGGCCCCTGATGGCCTTGGTTGCCCGTAGGGACGCGAAAGAAGAGGTGAATCCGATCGCTGGCCTAGAGGATAGTGATCAGAAAACCCAAGGATTACTAAACAAGGGGCGGCGGTGGCCCTTCCTTATGGGGTTGGAGTGTGGGGGAGCTGGGGTAGGCTGCAAGACCCTCCAGCCTCCTGGATGCAAAGAATGAGAAAGAACGCGCAGCCTCCGGCAGCCTGCTTATAAATGCAACCTTTCTGAAGATGAAACTCGCAGTCTTAGGTTGCCCTCCTTTATGTCCATGTTCCAATCATTTGGGCTTTCCTCGAAATGAATAAAATTGTGGAAATGAATGCATGAGAATATCACTTTAATTGTTTCAAACTCATTGTCAAGTCACCTTTTCTGCCATCTGCCAGAGGTTCAGTTTGCGCTTCGTGTCTACATTCCAGAAAATTGTAAGGACGTTTCCTCTGCATCTGTCTGCCTTGTTGGCAGCGTACGGAAACGATTACTGCACAGTTATTGGTACAGAATATGTTTCATGACTAACTTAATTCTAAATATCACTCCAAAATACAGATACCCAACTTCTTAGTTGGCATTTTTCAGGTTTATTCACTTTGTGTTGCAAATGTTTGAATTAGAAAACAAGAGAAATCACCCCGCAGCAGAGATGCACTTCTGTGCTTTCCTGTCAGGCGCAGAACCCACACTGGGTGATTAGCCAGAGGGGCGGCCTCCTTTGTTGATTTAAGAGTTCACCAGGCAAGATGGAACAATTATCTTTTTGCCTCTTCTTAACCATCTATTGTTGACTTATTTCTGGTATGCTTCCATTGTACAAAATTCGATCCAAAAATGAAAAATAAATCGTAAGTTAAAAAGGTAATAATGATAATAAGTCTACTTTAATTTTACCTGGCTTTGTTAATAGTCTATACCTGACACTCATATACAGGGGAGATGTCGAAAGTATATAACATATCATGTATGTATAATTATATATGTTATACTTATATGCTAATGATACCATCGTTTAACGTTACAAGGTAATTCTATAGAAAACTTGAAGTTCTATTTTTGATATATATAACATCTTCTTTACAGGAAAATAATTGTCAGGCTTAAAAATGATATTCAAGGGTGCTTTTATCAAGGGAACAAAATCTGAAGCTTCATGAACTAAAATCCTATCAAGCAACATGGTCCATAATTAGGATGCTTTGAGTTAATGATAACATAAAATACTCTTGTTTTTGTAACTCTGTGTGCACAAAATGCACATTTTAAAGTTGTGCATTTCAGTGTGTGTTTTACCACTTATTTTTCTGAAATCTTGAGTCACACCATTTCAGCAGGAAATAAAACCTGAATCAGTCCTAGACAATGTGTAAGGAATAACTACGATTTAACTTTTGTAGCTTAACAATGTTGTGCTGATCTTTAAATGCAAATATTAATATATTGAAATTAATATGAGTAGATAATTTCATCACCTCCTAATTTATAAAAAATGTAAAGTAAAAGCAAGTATAACAAATTGCTTTACTTTCTGTAATGTCTATTTAAGGACCTATTACCAAAATATAGTAATAATAGGATTCATATATGTGTAACAAATATGTAGCTATCACTCTATTATTGGAGAGTGACTGAACTCTGACTCTAAAATGACTGAACTCTAGTTATAAGCACATTGAACTATCATATGATGTGTGCTATCACTTGAATGTTGCTAAATTGATGCTATGCTATATTTTAAGAATCTCCCTCCTCTTTCCAGATACATGTACTAGCCCAGGAAGATCCCTGCATCTTGAACAGTAATGCTAAATCAGAAACTATGTCGTTACCCATAAATAGAATCCTTCTGACTTTCACTTAAATATCAGGACCTAAATTATTTTATGTCTCACTTCAGAACGTAGTACAATGTGCTATTTTATCTTCTTGACCCAGTCTTTGGATTTACTCTATACTCTCCGTGTTATAAGCTGCACAAACCATTGGTGACAGTGAGAACCACTCTGTGTAGTTTCACTGACTTTGGATTGTCATGTAATGTATGAAAAAGTATAAGTCATATCTTTTAGGTCTTGACGATGTGTTTCTTCCAATTCTGAAGTGTTAGTGTAGTTGTCCCTAATGTCATGTGATATGTCTCTTTGTTGTCCTATACCTGAGCCATAGCGGATCTGATGTAACTTTGGATATGCCATGTGAGGGCAAGCATTTTCTTTTGGGTTAGGCCATCAGTGAGGAAGAAACATTAGTAGAGCTCTCAGAGCAGAGGAAAATGTAAGTGGATGGAAACAATTACACTTTTGAATATAGTATTGGAGAAAGAATTGAGTGTGGGTGACTTTATCAACCATCAGAAGAAAGAGTGAAAATAGGTGCTTGGCTAAGATGAGAAAAGTATTCAGTTTTGAAAACAGAAAGGAAAAGCTTATTTAGAAAAAGAAAACATGGAGTAAATGTCAAGAGGAACATAAAGAGATGGGGCATGGTAACCCAGTTCATTCTGATAGAATAGGTATTTAAGGGCAAAACCCAGATCCAAAACAGGTAGTGGATGGAACTAGGGAACAGTAGATTCATAATTATTTTAACTTGGCATTTAAAACTTTAAAATCTGAGTTGAGGGTTTTTTTTTTATGGTAGAAAAGCAGCGTATTTGGCAATAATTTGAAAAACTTTTGTCGCATCTTTAGTCATACTAGACTGTTCACCTTTGTAAACTCACTATCGGTATACTGTCAGTACAGAAAATACAAACTAAAAGTACTAGAAATATAATACGGATTTCTCTTTTTAATATAACTAGGTTTATCTAACAATAAGATTCAGGGTTCAGAAAGGAAAAAAGACCAGGTCTGAGAAGGAATTTTAAAAAATGGTTTCAAAGTTTTCCAGAGTTTTGTTAGCCATTGTCCTTTCTGCAGACTTGGTTATATCAGAAAATGTAATTCAAATATTTGCACTGCTTACTTAAACCACAATAAAAAGGGAAAGATGTTGTGAAAACACTGCCTCATGCTCAAATTTATGCAAAACAACTTGAATGGCTGCCAGCAACACTGTTGTTATGTTTAGCAGTTCTGACCTGACTTCACATTCTCCTAGATAAGTTCTTCTGATGTGAGAAGAATGTAAACCCAAACCACAAGGGAGTATTCATTGCACCTATGCACTTGGGAAGAGTTTGGGTGCCCAAAATGTCAGAAAAATCAGATACAGTTGTTCTCTTAGAATCTATTCTGGAGGTCACAAGGTCAGAATGCACATGTGCATAAACCAACATGCCCATAAAAGCCTGATAGGAGGCAGCAGTGCCCCATAAAAGGTCACACCCAGCCAGAATCCAGCAACGTTTGAACAGCGTCTGTTATGGAAAAGAAATATGAGTCTGACAGCAGCAACAGCAGCAGCAGAGAAAGATGGATTGGGGATTAATCATGGTAAGATACTGAGCAAAAGAGACAACAAATTCTACCAAGCATGAATCCTTCTCTACTCACAGGTTTCACAAAATACACTCTTCAAAATACAAGCTGGTTGGCCAAGGTCGGGTTGATCTTTGCTAGGCTAAAAGCAGAAGCTGCTAAGTGTTTCCCACGGCAGATGGAGAACACCTAAGGATTTGTTACTGTTAAAAAAATAATTTGTGTTTCAACAGTGAAATACTCCTGATAACACATGTGATCAAAATTGCATTCTCCCTCAGTTCTCATGACATTCACTTTGGGGTAATACCATTTTTAAAATATTGGTAGCTATTAGCCTGTGGCTTTCCAGGACCGTACTTTTAAT